TGGGGAGATCACACAGGGGGTAGGGAAGAGGCTCGGCGTTCACCTTTTCTGTGGTAGAATGATTGAATATGAGGGCTGAAGCCTGGGGAGGAAGACCACTCTGCATTGGAGGGGGTCAAGAATCCGTTTTAGGCATGTTATGGGGCACCAAAGAATGTCCAGGAGACAGAGACTGATGGCTGAAGTCATGGGCAAGAACACCATTTCTCAGGGGAGTGTAGTGAAAAGACCAGAGTTATGATCTAAGCCATTTGAAATTGTAACTAGGGTATCTTTGGTACCTACTCTATTAATACACATATGAGTGCATCTTGACTCTCTGAGGTCATAGTATCAGTGACCTGAGGGGGGGGGTTGTGTGTGACTGAGCCCTGCCTGTCATTGTCAACTGAGCTCTAAATTGTCTGTTGTCCTCGGGCCATGATGCCCACCAGGTGTCCCTTTTTGTCTTGGGTGTCGTTCAGTGTTCCTGGGTCCCTTTGACTGAGGTAAAACTTAACCCCAAATCAGTTCAGCCCAGAGTAAATTACAGACAGGGGAAGGTGCAGGAGGGGTAGGTTCTACCACAAACAACCCTGACCTACTTAACTACTCTGCCTGCCACCTGACCCGCCCCAGGCACAAGTCACTGCCCAAAGTACAGTTCTCACCTGACTGGATTTCTGGACCCAGTGCCTGCCTGGCCCACCTGCGCCCAGATAAGGGACTGGTAAGGCTGTGGTAGTGCTACTAAGTGCTGAGGAACTCACAAACAGGAGGGACTAGGGTTAGACATCAGGAAGGACTTCGCTGCTTTCACCTAGAGAGGTTTACGTGGGAGTTCCAGATCCTGGGAGTCCTGGGATCCTTGGGTATGTGAAAGGAGAACTTTCCGGAATGTTTTGAAGGCTAGGAAGGAAGGTACTCCGGGCTTACGTTATGGTGCCACACTATCACAAGAGGCCTTGTATCTCTATCTCCTTCACTGTCTGGGAATTCTCCCCATCTCTCCGAGTCTGTGTGTCTCTCTGCTTATCTGATAGGTAGAGAGAGACAGGCAGAGACTTGTATTTACCCGGTGCTTTGCGGTTTACAAAATATTTTTCCATCCTTTAACCATTCCAGCTTCAGTTTCCTGGAGTACAACGGGCATAGCAATGGTCAGCACCTCATAGAGTTACAGCGAGACGGGAGGCCACAAGACACGGAAGACGGGAGCAGGGTAGTAGGTGAAAGCAAGAGTTGTTAATTCCCCTGCCTCGGTCCGAGTTGCACAGCCCAGAGAACGGCAGTGCACGTGTGCCTACCCTTACTTTACAGATGAGCTGCTCCGCGATGGAGAATGCCTCGTTCAAGGTCACCCAGGCTTAAGGGGCCGCGGAGCCGGCCTCAAGACGCCCAATCAGCTCTCCCACTCGCCAAGGGTCAGGCGTGAACGGCCGCGCCGCCGCGCAGCACGCGGGACGGTGACGTCACCTCCCCCCGCCGCCGCCGCCGTGGGGCGGGGCTCAGCAGGCTCCCCCTCGTCTCGCCCTCTGCGCCCAGCTCCGGTCCGGCGGCTCTCCGCTGTCAATGGCTCATCTGGGACCCGCGGGGCCAGATGGAAATGTCTGGTGTCGGGGGAAAATGAGGTCTGGCTCTGGAAGGCTCTGGGGACTGAAGCTGGGGAGAGGAGCAGCGAGCCGCTTAGAGCGGGAACGCACCAGGCTGCGGCTCATCCTCACTGATTCTTGGTGCCACGTGTCTCTAGGGTAATCACTTCTTGCATCCAGGCTCTCCCACAGACTCCCTAAATCACCTTAGCAAGTCCATACATATAGATCACCCCTCCTGAAGAACAAGGATCTGGGCCCGGAGGATGTGACTTGCCTGGGGTCACACAGCTGGTATTTGGCAGGCCCAAGATGGAATGCTAGGCTCTGAAATGGAACCAACCCTATAGACAGGCCTGGGAGAGAGGCCCCCCACTTTGTGGGGCCCTGCCGACTCATTTAGCTGTTGCCCTGTAGTCTGGGGCCAGAATGCCAACTGGCTCATTCACAGGGAGCACCAGGACTGCCAAGGATCTAGAGGGCTCTCACTTGAGCACCTTCTCTTGGAGGGGTCGCGTGCAGGAGCCAGGAGCCCAGCTAGGGCACTGCCATTGATGGGTTGGGGAGGGGGGACACGGGTTGTGCTCATGTGAGGTGCCCATCTCCACACTCACTGCCAACTTGCCCTAGAAACCAGATGGGCCTCACTGCCAGTTCTCCTGGCTGGCTGACGTCCCTCAGCCTGCCACCCTTCCAGTGTGTCAAGACTCAGGTTTCAGGCAGAACTCGCTAGCCAGAAAGCACGGCCATCTCTTTGAAGTGATTCTGCATTTCTCACTCATATCCATTTTGAATCCTTATCAGAGCTTAACATTCTGAGTATTTGTTTTCCCCGTAACTGGAGTTTTCCCTTCAAGCCCCCCACCCATTATACTGCCCTCACCATGCTCCTTCCATATTCATTTCAGAGAAGATACAGCTATGTTCCAGTTCCTCGGTCATCCCGGAGGCTTGACTTCTATTTTTTAAGGACTGATTTTACTGGGGCTCTTAGCTTTTCAAAAGTTTTCAGCCCCAACAATTCACCATATAAGATCAAACACAAAGGAAATGTGTTGCAGTGGCCACCACCCCAGGGAGGCCAGCAGCTAAATACACAGACTGATGCTTCAGGCAGAAATGTCACATGGAAGGAAGGTGATGACCAGCACAGGTCTTGGCAGAGTCCATGATACCCGTGATTCCCGCCTGATTCTCACGCTCAGCCCTTCCCCCACCTTACAGGAAGCAAGTGCTAGGGGCAAAGTGGAGGCCTGCCTCCTACGGTGTGGTGTTGTCTTCAGAGCACCTGCTGTGGTCAGGAGCCATCACTGTGCTTGGGTCCAAGGCAGGAGACCTGGGAGCTACGTTTTCTCGCCCCCACCTCTCCTGTCTTGGGGTCAAGACTTGAAGTCAGGAGAATAGAAACTGAGGGTGAGACTGCACACTCTTGGCATTTGCATTAGAAAACATTTTTGGAAAAAATATTCTAGTAATTTTCCTCCACATCTATTTGAGTACAGAAAGAAGGAAAGTGATGTGATTATCTGTTTTTCCATCCTTCAAATCATTGCTGGCATCCAGAGAAACCTACTTAACACCCATCTCCATCCCTTGAGCACAGGGAATGGAAATGAGTGGCACCACCCAGCTGGAGTCAGGCACGTGGAGTGCTCGGGGAGGGGCAATTTTCTGAATACCTCTGGGAGCCAGGTAAAGCACCTGTAGCTGAAAAAGTGAAAACATGAAAAGAATGTAGGCCCTATCTTGAAAAACATGAGTTTGGTCTGGTAGCCGGAGTATGGTCAAGGGCATGATAAAAGTTAGGTCACCAAGTTACAGAAGCTCTGAGGCACAGAAGGGGAAGGAATTGCATAAACTAGCTGTCATTGCTGGGAAATCAGGAAATGCTCAGCATACTCTGGAGAGAAACCAGCATATCACTTAGTTTTTTTGGATTATTCTGTGGCCATGTGCAGGATGGATTGAAGGACACCTGGGCTGGAGTCCTGAAAGAGCAGGCAGAAGGCCGTGGAGGGAACCCAGGGAAGAAACACAGCATCCCTGAGGGGCTGCTTGTGCCAAGGAAGGAGCCCAATAGGACTCAGGTTGGGGTACCATGGGAAGGTCAAGAGGGGGGCTGAGGAAGAGAAGACAAAAAGCACCGGTTAATTTCAGCCTCGGTGCCAAAGGGCACTGCAAAGGCTGAGGCATACTCAGGGAACCCTGCTTTTGAATCTGATAGGAAAGGAGTACCTTATTTTCCACCAACCTCGGATATAAACCTTGGTTTGACGTGTACCCCTGGAGTCTCCAGTTCTCCATATAATGATATGCTTAACTACCCCCTGAGAACTTCAGAGCTCGTCAAACAGCCTCAAATGTGCTAAGAGCCCTTAATGAGGCCTGAAGCCTTCAATTAAACTGAGAAACAAAAGCCCTGACAGAAGTGTCAATTTGTAGCTAGTGTGTGTGTGTCGCCCAGTGTGTGTGTGTGTGTCGCCCAGTGTGTGTGTGTGTGTGTGTGTGTCGCCCAGTGGCCAGAACTCCCACTTCCAGTCAGGAAGAGCCATTTCTATGAAGGGGATACAGTCCCACAGACCCATCCCTAGGAGAGTTGGAGAAGAAAAGGGGAGGGGGCCCCATTTCCATGCAAGGACACAGAGGCCCCATGTTCCCCAGGTGTCAGGGCAGAGTGCCAGGTAGGGGACATGGTGGGGCTGCAGCCTCTTCTTGCCTGGAGATGTGGGAGAGCAGGGGAGGGGATGTTCGTGGTGGGGAGGAGCGGACCAGGGTCGCAGGTTTATTCCTCCGGCTGAGAGGTGAGGACAGGTGAGGGTTGCAGTGAAGACAAAAGAAAGACGGGGCACTGTCCCTACCCCCACTTCTGTGAAAGAAAGAATTGAGCAGCAAAGAAAAAATGGCCTTTTTCAGTCTCAGCCAGCAGTCTTCGCTCCAGGCCTGTCCCTCCTCTGTGGCCCCAGCAGGGGGCACTGCAGCCCCACTGAGGCTAAGAGGACTAACTGCCCCCCCCCCCCCCCCGACACAGGCCCAGTGCTCGCCAGGGCTCAGCTGGGTCATGCTCGACCCCCAGATTCAGGCTGCCATCCTGCTGCCCTCTCTAGGAGCTGCGGCTGGAGGACACAGGGAGCCGTGGAGAAAAAAAAATTTTTTTATTTTATCAGAGAGCCTCTGAAGGCACCTGGTTTCTGTTGAATATAAAAAAAGGCAGTAAAATGGCAACTGTACAAGGTGCATTATTGGTAGAAACAAGGCAGGGGGAGCAGGAGAGGGGCATGGAAATGGGGGTGGGGAGGAGGCACATGGGGAGAATATGGAAATATTATCAGATGGGACCTTAGACAGACAGCCCTGGCCCCAAGCCACTGCTGGTAAATATGCAGAAGAACAGAGAGCCACACACGCACACATACCCTAAGCCCAGCAGTCTCTGCTGCCCTGCTCCAGCAGGGATCAGTCGGAGCCAAGCGTGTGTGGGGGCGGTGGCTGAAGGGGCCTTGAGCGGATGCAGAGCCCGTGTGCCCCCCCCTGATTCTGACCCTCAGGCTCACAATGTCCCCACTGTCCGTCCGTAGACGCTCCCTCCTCGGGGCCTGGACACCCAGGCCCAGAACAGGCGTGAGAAAGCAGAAGCTGGCGAAAAGAGAAAACCTCCAGACCACCCCGGCCCATCCCTGAAGGAGAAGAAAGGGCGCGGGAGCAGGTGGTCAGGGCAGCCCTTCCATCCGTCCACGGTTACACGACGGACCGGCACAGGAAGGAGAAGACAGCCCCCAGTGCCAGGCCCAGAGACAGAAAGAAGGCCATGATGGCTCCAGCTGTCTCTGCCTCAGCCGGCTTCACTTTCCTAAAGGCAGGAGGGCAAGGCTTGCTCAGAATGGCCCCTACCCCAGCCCCCAGCAGCTCTCCCCCCACAGAGCACCTGTGATGGCGAGACTTGCCTAAGCACAGAATTCTGCTGCTCCCCAGGCCCATCCTACTTTCCCACCTCCAATCTGGCTTTTGCCTCTTGGGGGAATGCATAAGGGGGCTGTCTCCCACCTTTGCACATTTCCACCTGGGTACCCTGGGTGCCCCACCCTCCACCACGACCCCTTCACCTACATGCCCCTCCAGGATCAGGGAGTCTCCTGTTGCCCTCTCTCCCTCCACGAGCTGTCCGCCGCTGGAGCTCTAGACCCCGCCTAATGCCACCGGGGGCCCCACTCACTTGGGCCCGAAGCACATGCAGAGACTGGCGAGGTAGCCGTTGGAGAAGGCGAAGGCAGCCATGAAGACGATGAACCAGGCGTCGTGCTCAAAGACCACAGCCAGGTGGCGGCGGGGCTGGACGTTACATAGCAACAGCAGGGGCACAAACAACATCCGGGCCAGCACCAGGCTTGGCAGCCAGTGGCTGTCCTTCCCAGGCTACGGAGGAACAGGTGGTGCCTCAGCCTGGGCCGGCCCCCAGCGCTCCACTTGGGGCCCCTCAGGATCTGAATTGGATCTGGTTACCCTTCGGGCATACTGATAGTGAGGGAACACGGTTGAGCCATCTCGAGTGCTGGAAACGTTCTGTATCTTGACCTGGCTGGTGATTACACAGGGGCGCATGCGTGCGTGCGTATGTGTGTGTGTAGTCATTAAGCTGTACGCTTAAGACTTGTATGACTTAGTATACACAGATTATGTCTTGGTTTTTAAAAAAAAAAAAGCATGGTCCCATTATCACCATATTTTCTTGGTTCCCTTTCTGGGTCTCAGGCTGAACTCTGCCCTTGCTCACACAGGGGCTGGGCACCTCCTTCTTCCGCTTACCCATGTAAATACAGCTGTGAGGCTCCGGCCCAGCCAGTCGAAGACATTGAAAGTCAAGAAACAAGACACGGGAATGAAGTAGTCTCCTGGAAAAAGAAGAGTAGAGTCGGGGTGGTTGTTAGGTCCAGAGAGACAGATTCAGCAACCCTAACCCTCACGGGGGCTCAGTTTCCCCAGCTGTAAAATGGAGAAGATGCTTCCAGGTCAGGGAAGGGCAAATGGGCCAGGAGTTTAGCTGAGGTGCCGGAAGCCCAGGCTCCCCCTGCCCCCCACTCCCAAACCTGCTCTAGCCCCGGTGTGCCCCTATCCTGGGAACCCACGGCGTCCTCACCCCAGGCACTGGTGCCCGCGATGCTGGACCGGACCTCAGCAGTCACGGCGGGAAACACCCCAATGGTGACCGTGAAGATGAAGCAGACAGAGAGAGCCGGGACTAAGATCTGGAGGAAAGGGACCCAGGCCCGTGTCCTCATGGTGGCTGTGCAAAAAGGAGCCCAGAATCCCCACCTCCCCAACACACACACACACACACACACACACACAGAATCCAGGGGCGCGGCCAGTCTCGGGTAGGGAGCGGATGGATAGCGCATGGGTCGGCAGGGGCAAAACTAAGAGAAAAAGAGGGTAAGGTGCCGAGGACAGAACACCCGTGCACCACATACGTTTCTGAGGATGGCTCGGATCGAGTGGCCTCTGTTGGTGGGCTGAGAGCTGGGGGCTGCAACTCTGGACTCCTCTTTGTTTGCTCCTGTCTCCTCTCCTGGGGTGGGGGGGGGTGACAGGTTGTGGGAGCATCACGTTGTGGGGAGGACAGAACAAGAGGTGACAAAAACATTCCCCCAAAGGGCTGGGGTTAGTTGGGGATGGAGACCCCTTCCCCAGGACACAGCCACCCCCCAACACCGAGCCCAGACCTCCCAGAGCTGTAAATCCCACGTCACAAGTCCCAGGGGTCCTGACCTCTCCCGGGAGCCTCAGGTCCTATTACAAGAATCTGAAGTTGCTTCCCGCTGCCCTCAGACGTTCGAGGGCACCCAGCAGCCCCCCCACGTCACCTCTCCTGGCCTTCATTTCCTACTGCCCCCCGCTCAGCCCAGCCCCAGTCCGTCTGGCTGCAGGCTTATAACCGCCAGCCAGTACGGCACACTCTTTCCTGCCCTCTGTACCCAGGCTGCCCCCTGCTGGGCGGGCCGCCCCCCCCCCCCCCCCGCCCCAGCGTCTGCAGGCTATTCTGACCTTTACTAATGAGGTCCAACTTGGTCTCCTGCTCCCCAGGCCCTTCAAGCTTGAACTGCTGGTAGTAGCGGTAGAACTCCTACCAAGTGGGGGACACCGGGGAGGTGGATTCAGAGGTGGAAGCTCCAGAACGCCCCCCTCCTACACCAGGTTTGGGTCCCAGAACACCACTGGTCTGGAGCCCTGGACTCCCCACCCCCACCCTGAATCCGGCTTTCTCCATCTGCTTACCAGGCGGGGCAGGGCCAGGTAACAGATGATGGCTAAAACAATAACCCCACAGGCGATAATAAAGTAGCCGAAGGCACTTTCTGACAGCTCTGAGCCACCTGTGTGGAGCATGTGAGTGATCAGAGACTGTCCCCGCCCCTGCCCCTCCCCTCCCCCACCCCACCCCAGCAACCAGGCCGGCAGGGAGGCGGCCGTACTTACTGGCAATGGCACAGATCATGGCCACTGAGGCGAAGATACCTGCCAGGCCCTGGCCACTCATGATGGGGGCAGTGTAGCTGGTGGGCAGGAGGCCGGCCAGACCAAACAGGCTACCTTGCAGGATGGCACCGAACGCTGGGGGCACGAGGTGGGCGTCAGCAGGGGAGAGAGAGCAGAGTGGGACTTACTTCTGCTGTGGGTGGCTGGGGGCCCATGGGAAAACGGGTCCCAGTGGAGTCGTGACACCAAATGGCCCTCTCTGCCCTGCTTCCAGCCCTGGTCCGTGCCTGCTCAGGCCTCTGGAGCCCGGACCGCCCACAGCATCCATTTCTTTCCTCCAGGGGGGGAGGAAAGGGCTCCGTTCCTGGCTGACTGTGGGTCTGAAGGAAGGGTGGGGGGATGTGGGAAGATCTCTGCCTCCTCCCAGCCCCACTTACAGTTGATGAGAACGATCTTGACCATGGTGATGACGAAGAAGGGTAGGGCGGCCAGCTGCACCTTCACCAGGACAGCAGTGATCAAGAACACCAACAGGATGGCTACCAGGCTGCCCAGGATCCGAACAGACTGGGGGATCCTGCCCAGAGGCCAGGGCGGTGAGGCCAGGGGCTCAGCCCAGGGAGAGCAAGAGGCAGCGAGGGGTCAGGCCAGGGGCCCAGGCGCTCACCTCTGATGCAGGAAAGAGTTAAGGCAGGTGAAGAACAGCAGGGGCAGCATGGCACATAACGTCATGACATTGTTGAAGACAGCACTGAGCAAGTTCCGCTCTGGGGAGGGCACTGTGGGGGTGGCTGAGGGCTGGATGTCCTTGCTCAGCTCGACAGTGACCAAGGACACGTTCTGGGACTCGTCCAGGCGGTTTGTGAAATACTGTGGGGGTTGCAAGACAGAAGCCTTGAGACTTCTCTCCCAACGCTCCTGAGGACACGGCAGCCAGGCCCTACATGCCCCCTGGAGCCCAGGTCCCCGAGTCTCACCCTAGTGGCTGTCATGAAAAAATTCCATGGGAGTAGCGTCCCCAGACCCAGCATGAAGAAGATAAGCCAGACGGCTTTGTACCTGAGGATGGGAGAGGAAAAAGGGGCCAAGTGATCCACCACCCCACCCTCCTTCCCAGATCAAACCTAAAAGCTCCTGCCTCCCCAACCTTCGGGCTCTCCAGCCGTTGCAGGACACAGGCATCTGTGTTTATGTCCATGTGCCTGAGACTTCCTATGGGTTTACACGGAAAGGGAAAGTGTCCTGGGACAGGGAAAAGGGCAGACAAGTCCATAGAGGGAGGAGGGCCAGGGAGGGACACAGGACTGAAAGGCATGGCCAACAGGACCTTGATTCTCAGCCCCGAAGACTCGGGGGACCCTGCAGGCTTGGGAACCAGTGTGACCCACACATCCGGAGGTGGTTTTGGAAACCCTGCTAGGGGCTGAGGGTGGGCGGGTGAGCGAGAAAGCAAACAGAAAGTGTCTTCCACCCCCACCGGGCAAGCTGGAAGTGATTATGCTGTCTGGGCAGGCACTGTGTGGCTCCCCAAAGAGGAGTCTGAGGTCAAGAAACTCCCAAACCACTCTGGACCTAGTGGGACAGGAAGGCGAGTGACTTGGGGTGCTGGGAAGTAAGGGAGCTGTTTTTTTCCCCGGCCCAGACAAAACTAGCTTTGTAGGTCACATCACATAGGGGAGACCAGGCGGTAACAGGCCACTGGACGTCATGTGGGCCGCAGAGAGTAAATGAGTGCCGCCCCATTCGGCCGGCCCGGGGCATTGCCCCCAAGCCCTACACCTCAGGGCCTGTGTGCGATGGGCCAGCCTCCCCCAGGCAGCCCTGGGCCCTCCCAGTGTGGTCTCCAGATGTGTCTGCCATACCCACCCACAGCCGACGCCGGCTTTCTTCACTGAGTGACAGGGACAAAGCCCAAGGCAGGGAAAAAACAGGTCTGGCCAGAGTGCAGGGCCTGGCCTCACACAGGAAAGGCCCAGGTGAATGCCCCGAGTGGAGAGGCCCGAGCCATTCAACTACAGCGCCCCCCCCCCCGCCACCACCCCCGCACCTCATATCCTCATGACCTTGAAGAACACAGCTAAGGGCTTGATTCAGAGGCCCAGAATGAAGGGAGAAGCCCCTGGCCGAGGCTGCCCAGAACAGATGGTCAGAGCAGGGCTGGGCGAGGGGACCAAGGCGCATGGAGATGGGAGAGGGGTTCCCAGAACTGCTACCAACGGGTGAGGCTCTGACAGGACAGGTGGCCTGGGAACAGAGGAGACAGGGAACGACCCAACCTGGGGCCTGCACTTACTAGGTCTCTTTAAATTCCCTCCCATCCCAAATAAACCCCACCCTGATTTTACAGGTGGGAAACAGTCACAGAGAGCGAGGTCCCACAGCCAGAAGTGGCCTAGTTCCGTGGCCTTTTGGCACAAGAGGAAGACGGGATGCGCAGGGGCGAGGGGATGCGGTTGGGGGCCTGGGCTGAAGGGAGTTTTGGACCGCAGGCATGGCTTCATCAACTGTCTTGGGTCCCAGACTCCTTGGAGAGCTTCAACCAAGCTACAGCCTCTTCCCCAACAAAACACGTATGCGTGATCATGGTGGCAGGTCTAACTTAAAGGAGCTTATCGGCTCCGAGGGTGGGGAAGTGAGAGCGAAGTCAGCTCAAGGACTAGGGTGGGCCAGGGTCATCTGAGGCAGAGGCTCAAGGCCAGGTCTGAGGAAGAGGGCAGTTCTGCCAGATGTGTTCTGGAATGAGGGGTGCCGCCAAATATTTCCCCAGAGCGATGGGAGGAGAAGCTGGAAACTGCTAGCTGACTGGAGAGCAACAGTGGAAACACTGAGAGGCCAGGGAGGGGCTGCCGCCGCCCACCCACCCCAGCCCTCCCCACAGGCACCCCAGCTAAGGCGCACCCGGCCCCCACCCCTCGGGCAGACCTGACTCACAGCTACTTTGCCGGAAGGCCAGTCAGCAGTGGAAACCCCAAATTCCAAAGGACGTGGCACCCAGCCCCTTGGAGACCCACGTCCGCTCCCCTGGATGCCCAGCCCAGGTCCCCGTACCTGTCCTGAGGCTGGTGAGTGGTTGTCATGGTGACGGCGGTGTTGGTTTTGCCTGGCTGAGAGCTCCCTCCTTCTGGCGCTTGCTGGGGGCAGAAGCAGCGTGAGGCCACGTCCTGGCCCGGCTTCCCCACAGGCCTCTTTAGGCTCTTGTGGGGTAGGCGGTGGTGGGGAGAGCACACAGAGCGGGCAAACTGAAGAGTCCAGAGGTACCCACCTCCCCCCCCCGGCCCTGCCCCTCGGGACTGCTCAATCTGACCCCTGCCGCCAGCGCTGTCGGGCCCCCTGCCTGCTCAGGCACTACCTGGCTCCCAGCCTGGCCACCGCTATTTTTATCCGGCAGCCGAAGCAGTTCGTAAGCTGGGAAACGGGAGAGTGGCGAGCAGGAGCCGAGGAGGAGGAAGTATAAGCGAGAGGGAGGGAAGGACTGGCAGAGAAGCAAGGGAACAGGATGACAGGGGCCAGGGACTGCAGCGATAATGGGGGGGCAGGAGGGGGGAAACAGGAGTCAGAGCAAAGAGGGCGCGGGAGGGGAGGACGGAGGGCAGACAACAAACATTCGCAGCTGCAGCGAGAAAGGACTGAAGCCAGAGATGCCTCCCCGCACCCCGCCCCACGCCCAGGTCCCTCTCTGCAACTCTGACCTTCACACCCTCTGGGGGGGGGGCCCTGCACTCACGGCAAGAGTGGACTTTGGAGAGCCTGCCCCCTCCTGGAGGCCCCCCCAGCCTCCAGCCTATCTGTGCTGGGGGCGCTTTAACCTTCCTCTGCAGTCACTGCCCAAGGGTTTCCTAGTCCTGGCCAGTTTTCTAGGAAAACGCTTCACCACGATGTGGGGACACAGCCCTTCCCATAACCAAGCTTGCCCCTCCCCCATCCCCAGGCCTGGCCCCAGGGTCACCCCATCCCCCCTAGGTTCCTCTCTGACTCACTCCCAGGCCCCTGTCCTCTTCCCCTTTCTGAGAGCAAACTTGGAAGGGAAGACTGGAGGAGCAGGGGCACAGGCCTGACCTAAAGCTCCTGGCCTTCCCCCCTCAGTATCCCCCACCTCCTGCTTCCCACTCGTGCAGGGGAGGCAGCCTGGCGCCAGATGAGACAGCCTTCCCTTTGGACAGCATGGAAAGCCAGGCAGGCGTGTGCTGGCGCATCCCCCACGTGCGGGCCTAGCTCTGGAGCCAGGTCTGCTGTTTGGGGTGAGGACTGGCTTCCCCACCCGCCTGGGCCTGGGCCCGGGGCCCACACTCACCGGATGCCCAGACTTGCCAGCAGAAGGGTCAGAGCAGAGGGGGCCTGGGCGGTCCTTGGGAGGTGGTCCTAGCTCAGGCTCTGGCAGCAGGCCTTGTCCATGGGCTCCCCCTGGGTAAGGGTCCAGAATTAATAAAGTGGCAGAGGCCGGATGGGGAGAGAACCCTGCAGGCCTTGCTGTGGGAGGGATCGGTCCCATTCTGAGAAGCCTCTTACACACAAACACAAACACACACACACACACACACACACACTCACCCAGGAGATAAAAACTGCTCCTGTAGGTAGCCTGGAGATAAGCCACCCAGCAGTCTCAGTAGGGGAGCTGAAGGGGTGGGGCAACTCACAGGTACCGCCAGTGCTCCAGGTCCCAGCCTGAGACCGGCAGACGCATACCGCCAGGGACCCCCAACACCCTCAATGGGCTTCTCTACCCTTCCCCATAACTCCTCTCAACCCCTCCCTGGGTGAACTCCAGACTCTCCAAAGGCCTTCCTCAGCCCCTCAGTCCCCCAGCCCACAAGTGGGTTGTAGGGAGCTGTAGGGCGGGGACAGGAGAAACACACCCACACACCTCCAGATGGAGGGAGAGGGCTTCTTCCATTCATCTTTTCAACAAATATTGACTGAGGACCTCTGCGTGCTAGCCAGGCACTGTTCTAGGCACTGGGGAATGGACAGAGTGGTGAACAACGGTTTTTGTGTTTTCAAGAAGGATGGGGGCAAGAAGGCTCTACCCTGGGGGGTAGGCAGAGAAGGCTCAGGACTCAGATTTTCTATTAGGTAGCAGGGAGGGGATCTCCCAGCTTCACACCTCAGCACACCCCATGCTCCACCCCCCGGCCCCCACAGGCAAGATTCCTGGCAGTGAAAGAACGGGTAGAGCTTCAACCCAGATGGGAGCTGGGGTGGAGAGAATAGAGTATCTCCCCTTCCTTAGTAGAATCTGCCTTAGGCTTGGGAAAGTATTCATTTCTGCCCTCTTCCCCAGCTACCCGCCCACGTTCTGTTCACAGCTGTCCCCACCTCAGTCCTGGGCACAATTCAACTCCAGGGGAGCCTCTCCCCTCTGCCCACATCCCGACACTCAGCTGGCCAGCCCAGGTATTTTGTTCTTGCCTGCCTTTGCCCAGCAGCAACCAGGGATTTGATACCAGCTCAGAGCACCTGGTGTCCCTCCAGCCATGCCCTGGCCTGCCAGGATGGAACCCTGAAAGTAACCACCAGACTGAACACCTCCCTACCCCCAAGCCCCCAGCACCTCTCATGCACCCCAGCTTCTAGACACACCTTTGCAGTAGCATCCAATTCTCTACTCCCTGGGGTTGAGTGTGGGGCCAGCCACTATGTGCAGATAGCTCCTCTTGCCCTCACAACCACCCATAAGCTAGTATTAAATTGTCTCCATTGAACAGATGAGGGAGGCTGAGGTTCAGAGAGGTTGAGTCACTTGTCTAAGGTCACAGAGCTAGTGAATGGGGTGCGCTGGAATTCCAACTCAATGTGCAACTTATTCTAGCCTTCTTCCGGGCTGGGGAGGTAGGTATAAAGGCTGCTTCTCAGCTAGCCCCGTATATTGGGAAATGAGAGGAAAAACAGGGTGGGGGCCGAGGTCATCTCTAGCCTGACAAGAGCTTCAGGTGTAAGGCAACCCCCTCCCCCCTACAATAACACACACATCCTGGCACGGAGAGCTCAACAGGCAGAAAGACAAGTGGGAGGTTACCGAGAGGAATGGGCAAAGGAGCCGCCATCAAGAAGGGTGAAGGGCAGGGCTGAGACCAGCCCTCACCCACCACTGCTCTCCCCCCACGAAGGACACCAGGGGTTCTGAGTCAAGGAAGGGTCATCTCTGGGAGTAAATGAAGATGCGCCCAGGAAGGGGAGGCCAGGAACAGACAGCTCATTTACCTCCAAGCCGCGTGCCCGCATCCCCATTTCCCCCACCCAGCGCAGTTACCGGCGCGGCGCCTCTCCTGTACCGACAAGATTCATCGAGATTACCCATTTACTCGCCCGCCCCTTGCGGAGGTCAGCTCGGCGACGGCCGGTTTCAGGCCCAGGAGCCAGGCCGCCCACGCCCCGCTCGGGTCCCGATCTCCGCAGAGTCTCCACGCGCCCTGACCCTGGCGCGCCACGTGCAGCGCGGCTCCGCACGCTCGGCGCGGGGGAAGCGGGGGGCCCCACGCGGCGTTGCCTCTGCGCGCCGCGTAGCTGCCAGGCCCGGCCTCCCTGCCCTCAGGGCGGCGGGGAGAGGCGCCTTCGGCGCCGGCCGTTCCCGGTCCCCCCTCCCCGACCCCCCGGCCCCCCGGCCCGGGCAGCACCTGCTAGGAAGGAGTCCTACCGCGCCGAGATCCACGCGCCCTCTCGGCAGCTTCCCGCGCCCGCCGGAGCACATTCAAACCCGCCCTCCGCTGGGCCCGCCCGGGCCCGCCCCGGCCCGCCCCGGCCCGCCCCGGCCCGCGTCCGCAGCCCGCTCCCCCCTACCACGGCGCGCGTCCGCTTCCCCCCCCCGCCCCGCCCCCGCCGCCGCGGCCCCGCCCCAGCTACTCACCCCCCCGCAGCTCCGGATGCGAGCCCACCCCCCCCTTACCGAGCCGCCACGCCCATGCCCCCTCCCCCCGGGGCTGCCGGGCCCACACTTCGCGTTATTTCTTAAGACAGGACCTCTGGGCCGTGCCACGCCAAACCCTGCCGCGTTAACGAGCACCCGGGGCTGGAGGGGTATCCTCCCTAGTCTGTTCCACGCTGGGGGTCCAGAAACTCCTACTGTCCTTGCAGCCAACCCTCTGCCCAGAGCGGTGCGGACTCCCCTCCCAGATATTCCGATATCACTCCCCCCAACCCCCTCCCACGCCACTTTCCCCAGCGCACACCTTTTCCCTTTCCAGCGTCCGCTCCCTTTTCAGGGCCACCTTCTGCCGTTGGCACTTATCCTCTGCTCCCCCAACCCCCATGCCCTGGGACCCCTCTGCATCGTCAGTATAATCAGTGACCCGATTTTCCCACCTCTAACACACACAGACCCGCACACCCACACGCAAACGCCACACCAACCTCAACTGGGATTTGGAGGGGGATGCGTGTCTTGGGGGGGGTAGTGGATGGGGTAGAGGCACAGGTCTGTAGGCCCCTCAAGATTCACTCTTTCTGGGCGCCTGGGTGGCTCAGTTGGTTAAGCGACTGCCTTCAGCTCAGGTCATGATCCTGGAGTCCCGGGATCGAGTCCCGCATCGGGCTCCCTGCTCGGCAGTGAGTCTGCTTCTCCCTCTGACCTTCTTCCCTCTCGTGCTCTCTCTCTCTCTCATTCTCTCTCTCTCTCAAACAAATAAATAAAATCTTTAAAAAAAAAAAAGATTTACTCTTTCTAAATCCCGAACTTTGGAAAAGCTGAGGAATAGCTGGAGATGGTAAGAAAAAAAGCCCCAAATAGCCTTACATCCTGAGTGAATCCCTTTGTCCTCAGAGGCAGATGCCAAGCCTTGCTGAGTCCCACATCCGCCACTGGCAGAGGAGGAAGGGGGTGGGCATGCTGAGGAGTGGTCAGCCCTTCCTGCACCTCCACGGGAGGGGGAATGATTCCCCTGCTTTTGGTTGGCCAGTAAATTGGGGGGAGGGGAGAATCAGGGCCCCTATAGCAGCTCTCAGTGCTGGAGGATAATCTGCTGGTGAGGTGTAAAGACACAAAGTCCAATCCAGTGCCCACACCCCAACTACCCAAGAAACCCGTCCCCTGGAGAAGCCATGGACACTAAATAACAATTAGCAGGGGGCGCCTTGGTGGCTCAGTCGGTAAGCGCCTGCCTTCAGCTCAGGTCATAATCCAGAGGTCCAAGCCCCACATCGGGCTCGCGGCTCAGCAGGGAGTCTGCTTCTCCATTTCCCTCTCTCTCAAATAAATAAGTAAATGTATATATTAAAAAAAACAACAACCAATTAGCATTACTACCATCAAAGGATGAGGCGGGGTCATACCCTCTTGCCAGGAAACAGACTGGGCCCTGAAGGGAAGTGTAGTTTTTCTTTTTTTCTTTTTTTTTTAAAGATTTTTTTAATTTATTTGACAGAGAGAGATACAGCCAGAGAAGGAACACAAGCAGGGGGAGTGGGGGAGGGAGAAGCAGGCTTCCCGCGGAGCAGGGAGCCCGATGCGGGGCTCGATCCCAGGACCCTGGGATCATGACCTGAGCCGAAGGCAGATGCCCAACGACTGAGCCACCCAGGCGCCCCAGGTCTAGTTTTTCTACTTAGGATCAGTGGACTGTCCCCAAGCTACTCCAGAAGGGGTGTTCTCAGCCTTCCGGCGCTTCCCGCAGAGACATGACACACCATCACACCCCAGCCTTAAGCAAACAGAGGGCAGGAAGAGGGGTAGGGTGGTATTTTTTTAGGCAATGCCCCACGACTTGAGGGCCGCTTCGTGTCTGGGTCTACCCACCCCCATTCCCATCCTGTGTTTGTCCAGTCTCTCGCTCTTCCTCTCCCAGCCCTCCTCTCCCCTCTTCCTTGGCCCCGGTCTCTCTCCCCACCTTCATTTCCCATCTTTGGGCCCGTGGGGGTGGCAGGACTTAGTGGTCAGACAGACCTGCCCGGCATGGCCAGGCTGGTGGCCAGCGGGTGCAGTTGTGTGCAGAGGGGGCTGGAAGGGGAAAGCAACTGGAGGGAAGTGGTGAGGGTCCCAGGCCAGACAGGGGAAAGGCTGGTTCCTCTCCCCACCCCCGCTGAGGCCTGGCCTGCTCACTAGATGGCAACAGCCAGGACTCTTACTGCTGGAGAGAAGCCCATCTGGCAGTCACCCTGCCTGGGCCCCCAGCCAGCATCCACGCCCCTTCGGAGCCTTTCCCTGACCAGAGATGGTTGCTGGGTGCCAGGGCCCTCTGCTGGACAGCCTCAGGGCCTCAACTCACACCAGCCTGTGCCAGGAGGATTTCTGGGCAGGCCCAGCCAGTCCCGTCACCCTCTGCCCTGTCTTACGTCTTTCTCCTTCAGGTCCCTGGCACAGGAGTAGGGTGAAAAGGGCTGATCCCACCCCATCCCCCACTCTATTTGAGACTGTCTCTTGCCCCAGACTCCCTCCTCCGTGTTCTAGGCCCCAAGCCTGCC